GGAAGTCAAGTTAGGCGAACGAACGTTTTCGATCAATTCATCATCAGGCAATGCAGTAGTATAAGGGAGGGTAGAGTTGACAAAAGTTTTAGGCAAACCTATCTTAAAAAGCTTCATATTTGTTAGGCTTCGACGAGAATTATTAATAGTTTAAATCCCTGTGTGATTCTGGACATTTTAGCGCCAAAAACGGACTGGATTGCACATGTTGATCCGAAAACGGGACTACCTTTCTATTATAATTGCGCTTCAAAGACATCCACATGGGAAATGCCAGATGAATATCGGCAGTATTTGCAGAATTATGAAAAATTTCTTGCAAATGGTCAGAAGACTCCAGAAGCCCACACAGCTACTGAAGATATAAACGGCTCAGCTGGTGATGTTAATGTTGGCACTTGCACTATGCCGGAGGGTAATGCCCGGAAACGACGTAGAATCAAACGAGCCTATCTCAGATCGGGAGCTAAAAAATCAGCCGAGGACTCAACACCGGTTGAATTTCTATCAGAATATATTGCCTATAGCGACTCTTCTGGATCGGATTCTGATGGAACTAGAGACGCTCTCTCGTCCCCGCGCTCCGATAACAGTTCGTCCTCTAATGCAGACCATTGTTCCCCAAAGTCTCCCTCGTCTGCCGTTTTTATTGGTCCCCTTCCGGCCGATGACGTCTTGCCTGCGAAACAATTAGAAGACACTATTGGCCCGAAACTACCCGACCCCATAACGGTTGCAGAAGTTTACAGTTGTGAGAATTTGGAAACCAAACCAAAAATGGAGCTGGGTGATCCTGCAATGACTCAAGATATGAACACCTCCGAGCTTAACCGACTTACTCAACTTCTCCTTGAAAAATTCGCCTTCTTGGATGTTCACGTGGATAAGTTCACTCCTATTCAATTGTTGTACGTTCAACTTTCTGTAAGTTTTCAACTAAGCCTTTTTTGTTTGCCTGTGATGCCAACTATATAGGACATGGGTTTCATCTCTTCGTTCAACGTACTGTCTTTATTATTGCCCTTAAAGACTCGCTTCGAGGACTGGACTGCTGGGTTTCTGCCATCTTCGCGGTTTCATGAAAAGTTGGAGGAAGTTAATTCCTATTTGTTGAATTATGAGCAATCTCTTCTTCCTGACGGCTGGTCGTGCAAATGGGATAGGTACGTCTAAAGCGATCATTCTCATTTATAGTAAATGTTTCTTTAAAACTAGATGGCCTGTCATAAGTTGCCTAAAATAACTAATAAATTGTAGAAATTCAAGCCAATTAATCACGATTTTCACGGATGCTAAAGTTACTAGCGCGGGCGGATAAAAAATACTAAGGTTCGAGGCAAAGACGATGACAGACTATAGCTACTTCTACTTGAATGCCATTTGACGAGATTCCTAGTCAACAATGCGAGCATATTCATTTGCATCCAGAGGCCAAGTTCGTCTTCAAATTATCGGATACTATTTGGGCAGCAGTGAATGAAAACCCGAGCTGGGGCTGCATGTGTGTATATTTAGCTTTGAATGGTCAAGAATATGCAAGGCCCCGGTAACTGAATAGAAGACGGTAAAACGTTCTCTGGGACCAGTGGTTTATTTGTCCGACGTTTCTAACTCTCACGCGAGCTCATTATGAAGAATCAAAAACTGTACAGCTCACTGTGTATTTAAATCAGCTCTGCCGGGAGTGACCTTGCCCTTGACCTCTGCATTCAATCTGTTCGCGCAACGCGAGATAGGTATCGGGAGGATCGATATGCCTGTTAATTGAATCCGCGCGTGAATGCCATGCTTCCTGTATGTTTCATTCCTTGACAATGAGCTCGCTTGAGAGTTCGAAACGGAAAAATAAACCACTAGTCCCAGAGAACGTCTTACCGTCTTATATTGACCTCGTGAAGCTATTCATTTCAAGTTCCATACTGTAATTAACTCCTGGAAGCTTTTAGTCTAAGGCGGATGGTTCATAGATCCACGCAACGAGTTTCTGGTTTTTATAAGGGTGCGCGCAAATTTGCGTTTTATATTATGCCATTTTAAACCAAGCACTTGGAAAATATGAACGGTCGTTTCTGGGGTATTGCATTGTACCCGTTTTTATCTTTAATATAGTACCAGTTTGGGATGAAAATTACGGCGGTCCCAGCCTTCTTGCGATGTATATAAGAATGTCTTCAATTATATAACATTTCGGCTCCGGTTTGGCCGTCTCTATTTTTAATAACCATGTTCTTATATTTCTATACCTAGTGGTGGTTGCCGGATATTATAAAATAAACATAAACTGCACCTAATTGTTTGAACCAATACACCGTTCTTACAATGAATTCAACTGCCTTTGGTGAGATGACTTTTTCAAAACGATACGTTCAGACGTCTGCCATTACTTTATCACA